TTTTTTTTTGAGACAGGGTTTCTCTGTGTAATAGCCCTGGCTGTCCTGGAACTCACTTTGTAGACCAGGCTGACCTTGAATTTACAGAGATCTGCCTACCTCTGCTTATGGAGTACTAGGATCAAAGGCGTGCACCACCACCACCCAACTAAAAAAATACTATTTATTTTTATATGTGTGAGTACTTGTGTGAGTTTATTTTCACCATATAGATGCAGGAACCCTTGCAGCAGAAAAGAGTATCAGTGTTCCCCTCTGAATTTGAGAATGGGGGAGGAGATGAAATCACTTCTCCACTGTCACTGTCTCCAGCATTCTACCTGCTCTAGCCCTGTGTGCCCTGGGAAGTGGGCCATGGCTGAAGCCACTGTTCTAAAGTTTATAGCAAAACTTATCTCCAGCCCCACCCCTGCCTGTCCGTTTAGAGGGAGCTTCCTCTGTGACTTTTCTTTTCATGTTCTATTTATAACTGGCCAGGGACAGCTCCAGTCTTACCCACACCCCTTTCCCTGCAACACACATGGGGCTGGGAAGCATGGGAAGGCACATGCTGAAAGACAGGAGTAGAAAGGCACTGTCATGAATGTGCCTTTCACTACAGAGTTACTGCATTCCCTCCCAGTCAGGGGACGCCAGTGTTAACTCCCTATTCTTCAGCCCCTCGTCCTGACCTTGTTTGGTGCTTCTGGAATCTCCCGGGTAGGTTAAGAATGCCAAGGGATGCCATATGGTCCACCTCACTGTTTCTCTCCCGGGAGTCAACACCGGCTTCCTCTATGGAGCTTCCCCCCTTTGTCAGTACAGGAAGTAGGGATCCTAACTTGGGAATTTTAAAGTGGGACCTTGGGTGGATACTTTCTAGAATGTTCTTGGCTACAGGGTGGAAAACTTCCTCCGATGTTGTCAAGGTGAAACTTGCCTGGTCATCACTTTGGAATCGCCCATGTGTCTCTTCTCTTATGCCTTGTACCGAGCAATGGCCTAAAGCCTGGGGTTGGGGTGGGGGTGGAGCATTAAACACAACAGCTGCGGAAATGCTTAGAAATCATGGAGAGAAGAAACTGATGTTAGAAACTATCCTGCTCCACTCTTCCCACTCCACACCATAGACCACATATTTTACCCCCCACAAAAGAAAACATTCCTGACCTTTGTTTAGATGTTTATCAGAAGCTGTCTGGACTTGCAGTCTCTAAAGTCACATTCTTTATTAGCCACATACTTCTTCGTGTGTGGTGTGACCCTCCAATCAGAACAGCGATGCATGGATCCTGAGCAAAAACCATTTGGGGATGGAAGCATTAACTACCACCCAGGGACTCTCACTGAACCTAAATGCAAGCAGGAGCTGCAGTCAGACCTCGGGATTCCCGGTGGTGGCAAAGGTTTCAGTTTTGAATATATGTGGAAGAAATCCTCTGACCTGAGATATTGGTGACTTTTTTCACTATTGTGGCAAAAGCTTGACAGACACAACTTAAGGGCAGAAGGAAGGACGTTCTTGGGCTCATGGCCAGGAAGGCGTGGCAGCAGGAGAGACTCCTCCACAGCAATGAGAGTTTGGAACACCACTTCTTGCCACTTCGGCAGTTCAGAAAACAAGAGCGTTTGGGTTGGAAGGATGACAGGTTATAACTTGAAAAATCTTTTCCCAGTTATGTCCTTCTGGCCTTGCCTCCTATCCTAAAGATCTCACAGCCACCCAAAACGGTGCCACCCATTAGGAACAAAGTGCTCAAACACATGAGCCCACGTGTACACTTCATATCCAAACCATAATAGTTCTAGATACTATGGGACCATGGTCTATTTTCACATGTTTATGAATCCAAAACGGTGCCACCCATTAGGAACAAAGTGCTCAAACACATGAGCCCACATGTACACTTCATATCCAAACCATAATAGTTCTAGATACTATGGGTCCATGGTCTATTTTCACATGTTTATGAATTTATGGTGTGTTAAGTATGTGTGCATGTATATATGTGCATGGGTACATGTGTGGCACAGCATATATGTGGAAGTCAGAGGAAGACTTGCAGGAGTTGGTTCTCTTCTCCCACCTTGAGGGTCTTGGAGCTCATACTCAGGTTGCCAGGCTTGGTAGTGGGCAACTTTACCAGCTGAGCCATCACACTGGCTTCAGAACCCTGATCTCTAAAACAAGAATAGAATCCTCCACCCAGAAAGAGAGAGAATGCAATGCAAAGCTCTCCAATGCAAAACAAAGGATCGTGCAGAGTTTTTATTCTGGCTCAGAAATGCTTCTACTCTGGGTTGTAATCAAATAATTTTCCCTTCCTGGTCCATTGACATTGATAAATTAGATCATACTTGGGATCTTATGTAAGTAATTGGCACCCAACAAGCTTTGGATGCACAGGTAAAAGGCAATGTATGCCAAGCCAACTGAGCCAGTAGTGGAGTGTGTCAGGCAGAGGCAGAGCCAAGTGTCAGGGAGGACACTGTTGACAGGCAGGCTAAGTGGGACTTGGCTCCAGTTCCCACCATATTCTGTTGGCCCTTGGCTTTTTTTTTTTTTTTCTTTGTGCTGTTGTGGTTTGAACTCAGGGTACCCTCCCTCTGTTTTTAAACAGTTAAATGAGGGAGGATGGAGTTGTGATTGAAGAAGTCCCTTTGGGGCCTTGAATCCTCTCTGATTCTTTGTTTCTACACACATAATGGAAGGAAATAGGGGCACACAGCAGCTCAAGGACTCAGTTACAGTAAGAGAGTCAGCCTTCCAAGTTCCAAAGAGTCTTTATAACTTCCCTTTTCACAGCCATAGGTCCCAGACTGAGATCGGGGAGAGCTCTGCGTACATCCAGAAAAGATGCCATGTGTGAACCCTCTCATCTGATCTACATGTATGAGTCCAACTCCGATTTCAATTACATTTTTGCTAATTAAAAGAAGGCAGAAAGCTGTCAACATGGCTCAGCAAGTAGAGGCGCTTGCCACGCAAGCCTAGCAGCCTGAGTTTGATCCCCGGAACTCACATAAAGGTAGAAGGTGAGAACTGACTCCACAAGGTTGTCCCCTGCCTTGCACACATGTGTGCATTGGTGCCCCCCACAACACATCATACGAATACACATTTTTAAAAGCTAGAGCAAATTCCTTTAAATTTACAGCAGCATTTACACTACCCGAGGGAAACAGTATTCTTTTCAAATGTTTTCACTGGCATTAAAAAAAAAAAGCACAAGAGTACATGCTTAGGATAACAATTCAAACAATACACAGGCATGAGACAGTAATGGTCTTCTTTAATCCCACTATAAACCTGCCCTGAGTAACCCATATTCATTGTATATATTTCTTCATTTCCTTTTTAAAATGAAAAAAGAAAAAAGTCAGACATATTACCCTGCAGGTCTCCCCTATTCACTGAAAAGTCGATGTATCAAAGCTTATCTCTGCAGATCAATACCAACAGATGGACTTCATTGTTTTCTGAAACTGCACAGTGTTCCACAGCATGGATTTGCTTAAGAGAAGCCCGGATGTTTTTTCTTCTGCATGTTAACTATGAGTCCATACACACTTCTTTATGTACATCCTGATGCTCATGTTTCTTCTGTACAATGGGTTCCCAGTTCTGAGACTGCTGGGTCCGAGGTCACGGAAACACTTAATTTCAGCAGGTATTCCTAGATAACTTGGTCAATGCACAGCCTTGGCAATATTTATGAGAATGCGATTTTCTCACACATTTCCCAGCAGTGAGGGGAGTTCTGTAAATCTAGGTCAAGCCAAAGGGGCAGCACTACTGGCGATTGTTCTTCTTTTAATTGCATGTGGGGATTGTGTGTGAGGTCTTCACGTGTTTTACTGGCCGTCTGTAGCTGCTCTTCTTTTCTGCACTGTTGATAGGTTTTGCTAATTTTCTTAGATTTAAATTCTCTCTCTCTCTCTCTCTCTCTCTCTCTCTCTCTCTCTCTCTCTCTCTCTCTCTCTGTGTGTGTGTGTGTGTATGTGTGTGTGGTGAACCTACAGAGACAAGAAGAGGGTGTTAGTTGTCCCCTGTAGTTCTCTCCCTTATTCCCTGGAGACAGGGTATCTCATTGAGTCCAAGGCTCACCATTTTGGATGACTGTGAGCTCTTGCCACTGCTTGTCTCACTGTGAGCCAGTGAGCTCTTGCCATCTGCTTGTCTCTCCAATGCCAGTGTTACCGGCATATGTGGCCAGGCCTTGTTTCTTCTTCTTCTTCTTCTTCTTCTTCTTCTTCTTCTTCTTCTTCTTCTTCTTCTTCTTCTTCTTCTTCTTCTTCTTCTTCTTCTTCTTTTTTACATATATGCTGGGGATTCAAACTCGGGTCTTTATGCTTGCACAGCAAGGGCTCTTACCCTTTGCACCACCTCCTCAGTTCACCTGCCCTGCTGTTTTAAAGTGGCTATTACTTGCTCTTGTGTTTCTTTTGACTTTGCTTCTATTTCAGAAATATGTCTTTTATTTCTAATTATTAGCTATTCACTTCAATTTTGAGTTCTTCTAATTCTTATTTTTTTGCCTTGGGGGGGGGCTTTCAAGACATGGTTTCTCTGTGGCTTTCGAGGCTGTCCTGGACCTAGCTCTTGTAGACGAGGCTAGTCTCGAACTCACAGATATCCATCTGCCTCTGCCTCCCGAGTGCTGGGATTAAAGATGTGTGCCACCACTGCCCGGCTCTAATTCTTATTTTAAAATATCTTTAAGCTCATTTTATAAAACAGAACTACAGTTTTTATGTATGTAACATGTCCTTTAGTTTTTAGAGATGGTGTCGTCTGACCCTCTCACATCCCCCCCCCCCCGGGTGGAGGAGGGGACCCGGGGCCCCCCCCTGGCTGGGGGGGGCCCCCCCCCCCCCCCCCGCCACACAGTTGAGCCACACCCTCAGCCCTCTTCACTTTTTCCAGTGTGAGACTTGATTTTGATCTTCCTCTATGCTTATTTTTATGTAAAATCCACAAACTTTTCAAAGGAGCTGCTGTCCAGGTTTCCTTTCTGTAACTTCACAGAGCACTATTTTGAACTTTCTCATTTAGTGATAAAAATTTGATGACTTTCTTCCTGTGGCTTCCTGGTTTTGTTTCCCTCCCCAACTTTTATCTGCCTTTACTGTCTCTGTATTGTCCAGTTTTGAACTGCCCGTTCACTTTCACAGCAGCTCTCTCTCTGTAGGTGAGAGGTCCAGGAGCTTGCAACTCCCTCAGCACCTCCCCTGGCTCCCTGGCTCCTACCCAAATGTGGATATCCCAGGGAACATCTGTTGGAACTTCCTGTGGTCAGAGGTGTCATGACGTCCTTCTTTCCCTGTATCTTTCCTCATGGCTGCTGACTTCCCAAGGCCCGTGGCACAGGTTCCAACCCACTTTGCAGGGAAAGCTTGTCACCTACGGTTTTGGTTTTGCTATCCAGTGGGTATGTATTTTTATTTAATTTTTTAAAGCTGTGGTAAAACACATGCAACACTAATATTAGCATCTTAACTCTTTTCTTTTTCCAGTGCTGAGGACAGAACTGAGAAGCCTCACACATGCTAGCAAAGCACTCTACAATTGAGCCACATATCCAACTCCATCTCAACTGCCAGGTGTATAGTTCAGTAAAGTGCAGTTCAGTATAGCAAAGCACTCTACAATTGAGCCACATATCCAACTCCATCTCAACTGCTTTTAGGTGTATAGTTCAGTAAAGTGCAGTTGGTAGCCACCTATGATGGCTCAATCTATGAGCTTAAAAGGTTACCATGGTACAAAAGCGGCAACATTCAGTGGGAGCTGTATATGAGATCTTGAGGGTTTATCTTTCCTCAGGCTAGCACTATGAGGGTGTGGCATTCTCAAGTGATCAGTCAGCCACTCAACCACAAAAGGAACATTGGCCAAAACAAGTGTACTGCGCTCCTCTGCCACGATGTAACAGGTTATGTGTATTCAATGCATTTTTTTGTTGTTTTTTCAAGACAGGGTTTCTCTGTGTAGCTTTGGAGCCTATCCTGGCACTCACTCTGGAGACCAGGCTGGCCTCGAACTCACAGACATTCGCCTGCCTCTGCCTCCCCAGTGCTGGGATTAAAGGTGTGCACCACCAACGCCCGGCATTATTCAATGCATTTTGAATGATTATATTTTCAGTTTGTGATGGCTTTGGCAGCATGCGACTCCTCATGAATCAAGGAGCATCTATTCATTCACATTGTTGTGCAAGCAATCTTCAGAATTCTTCTCATCTTACAAACCTGGAACTCTGTATCCATTAAACAACTCCTATTCCACTCTCCTGGTTCTGGTGGCTCCCTCTGTTCTGCCAAGGAGACCAAGGTCACAGAGACGGAGAAACTCTGCTGCTACTATGCCCCCATTAACACAGATCCCCTGCAGACTGGAGTCTGTTTTAGAGCCCTCAGCTATAGCATGGCATGGAACTCAGTAAGCAGTCCCACTCTGAACTGAGGACCAAGCGATTCTTAATTCTTAATAGTTTTTGGCAGTGTGACAAGATGCTCTCTTGTGCTCATTAAAGTAATTGATGGGTAACATAAAAGGTGCCATCCTTACACCTTTCCAGGCCAATATGCAACCCTCTTGTCTTGAAGGCAATGCTGCTAACTCTTCATTAGCTGGCTGATGACTGGCAGGAAGGATCAGATGATCTCAAGAAGATGCCAAGTGTAAACTACTTTATATTTTACTTTATAGAAACTAGTAGCAGGTTTCTTTACTAAGTGGTTGGTTCAAGATAACTTGATTATATAGTGGTCTCTGGACTCTGCTTGTGAGTAATTGAAGAGAAAGGGGTGGCCCAGGTGCATGAGGGGTGGCCTCCTTAAAATGTGTGATAGGTACACACACGGTGGTAAGTAATTGGGTATGATGCAATGGGAGTTCTTGCTACTGTCACTGGTAGAATCCAAAGTAATATAATCTTGTATTCATATAGGGCTTTACAGTTTCAAGGTTTCAAATTCATCACTCCATTCATTTCTATAACCCTGGTCATGGCCATCTAAGGCAGGACTCCATGGTGTTCTTTTGTAATACTACTGATATAATTTGAGGAGGGAGGTTGGAAGAGGGCACATGCAAATTATGAACATATGAAAACAGAGAGGCAGAAACTGACAGTTTTTATAAACCCAAACTCTACAATCACACAGTGAATTCAGAAAGCTGCTATGCATAGCTTCAGTGCCCTGTTTACAGAACTCATCAATCTGAAATAAATGTCCCATTTCTAACAGAAACTACTGTGCACTGCCTTCTCAGGTGGTGCCTAAGTTCAGGACTGCAGTTTTTAGGACAAAGGTCTGCCGACTTTAAGGGCTCAGTGGATTGCATTCTTTTTCCGTGGATTTGAAATGCATGCACACAATGGCAACGTCTCCCCAGAGGACTCGATTTTATTCAAGCAGATTGAAAAGTAATTTGTTCACAGTCTTATGCTTTTTGGTGGCTAGGTGTTATTTTTAGAAAGCACAGCAATTTATCTGATTACCTCTTCTAATTCGTTTTACCTCCCCCCAACCCCCTGCCGCTGCAAAAGTGAAGTGACACATTATTTTACTCCACAAAGCAAACAGATCCAGGCAGTGTGCACGCTCTGGGAGTTAGATCACCTGGAATTAGCAAATTGATCACAGGGATTTGGGGATGATTTTTGATCACAACTATATCAGACAACGGCACTGCCCAAACCTGAATACTTGAAATTATTTTAATGTTATCAAAGGACACCTTACAGAATAAACACAAGCAGAAGGACTTTCTTGTGCTGTTAGTAATCACTTACTGGAGACTGAAGAGGTGAACAGGGAATATAGTGAAGGAAACAAGGTAAGAATGAAAGCTGGAATGCATAGATTAAGAACTATAAAAAAAGCCAAGAGTGGGGGCTCACACCTCAATCCCAGCACTCCAGAGGCTGGAGCAGAGGATAGTGAGTGCCACTGGTGTGGACTATCTACCAAGACCTTGCCAGAAAGAAAGATGGCAAGTGGGCAAGCTGTAATGGATGAAGAGGCACCTAGCACTTTTAGTAGGCTCTGGCACTCAGGTTTGGCTGGTTTGGGACTGAGTGATATGTGTGTGAGATGGGTGTGTGCACGCTCGTGTGTGTGTGTGTGTGTGTGTGTGTGTGTGTGTGTGTGTGTGTGTATGTATGCCTGTATTTGCACAAAGTCATCTGAATTTTTAATGTAGCTGCTATTACCTGGTAATGCAGCTCTGCTTGGGCATTCAGATGCGCTACATCATGGAGGCCTACTTTACAAAGCATGAGCCATTATTTGCACAAAGTCATCTGAATTTTTAATGTAGCTGCTATTACCTGGTAACGCAGCTCTGTTTGGGCATTCAGATGCGCTACATCATGGAGGCCTACTTTACAAAGCACGAGCCATACCGTGCCACAGCCTTCTTCTGAGATTAAAAGGATGATAATGCATATTCACCTTACACGGAAATTCTCATAAATCCCATTGTGTTGTTATGTTATCTCCTGGTCAAAAATGTGAAAAATTCTGCCGGAAACCACAGGCAGCTTTCTCTGTGCTGTAAGTATCCTGTCAGCAATATTATTAGCAGGAATAATGGCCTTCCAGAGGACTAAGGTTGCTGACTGTGGGAGACTGAAGCTCCAGATGAAAAAAGGAACAAGACCCTGCAGCCTCTGTGAAGGACTCAAGGGCAGCTCTGAGGACAAGGACTGTCTTTGATTTTAGTAAAGCCCTCAGATTTCTAGCCCTTTTGGTTGTTTTGTTTTCAGACACAGCCTTCCTATGTTGGCTCATAATCTCCCTGCCACAGATTTATGAGTGCTGGCACAATGTTTGTTGTTGTTTTTAATAACAAAATATCCTTAGTAAAAATGAAATTAAATTTGTCTGTATTCCCAGGTCACGTAGAAGCTGTGGAGCAGTGGAAGTCAGTTAACAGGTATTTATAAATACAGAATCTAAATCCATCCTGGTTTGTCCACAGGGTGAAACATTTGGCACTGAGTGGTTGAAGACTGATAGGAAGAAGCACCCTCATTGTCCCAGAAATAGGTGTCACCTCACCTATTTAAAATTTTCTTTTATTCTTTGGCAAAAGAACGAGATAGAGTGATGTAAATTTTCCTGCTTATTTTTCTTAGCATATATCCAGGTATTTAAGCACACTCTTGAAAAATTAAAAAAATTATTCTTAATTGTATGGGTGTTTTGATTGCATCCATGTCTGTGCACTATTTGCATGCCTGGTGCATGTGGAGGCCAGAAGAGGGTGTGAGATCACCTGGAAGTTGGGCTATAGATGTCTGTGAGCTGCCACTTGAGTGCTGAGAATCAAACCCGGGTCTTCTGGAAGAGCAGCCAGTGCGTTTATGTTCTGAGCCATCTCTCCAGTCTTTAAACACAATTTTGAAGATTCTTTTTCATTTATGTTCTATTATTAGTTCAATCATAAACAAACAAGAATACGATTCACTTGTCTCCATCCCCATATGTGTCTTTGGGTAAAGCAATAACAAACTTATTTATATATGATGTATCAAGGCAGTTATATTACTTATAAGCTCCTATAGTGTATAATCAAATTATAATGTATTTGTACATTCTAAGCATAGGTTACAAGGGTGACTGTACCCTTGTTCATTTTTTCACTCCCAGAAAATATGCTTCTGGTGATTACAAATAAAGTGTACAGGGCCAAATGCCCATGTAGGCAAGCATGTGTGTAGATCCTTCATGTCTATGTATTTTTATTGACTTGGCTTATACAGGGGTTACCTTATTTTGAGTCTTACTGCCTATTCTGCCTTTCTGCACTTCCCAACCAATCAGGACAGACATGAGTTTTGCAGGATCCTTAGAGAGATGGATCTTTCTTGTGACATAGATTTCCTTTTGGCACACAACACAACATGTACCAAAAAAAGCAAGCCCTTGATGGGAATGTAAAGGACTAATTTTCCACTAGCTCATGGAAAGTTAGGAAGAAGAAATGGGGGAGGGATTTCCCTTATAACCTTCCGGCTGCTCTATGAAATAAGAGTGGAAGCCCTATTTGTAAGGAGTTAAGGGTCAGAAAACCAAGGGTCAGGACAAAATCCTGCTTGGTATGAGACAGAATGTATTTGTTGGCTCAAGAGCCAGGCCCCAAATGATTCCTCAAATATTTGCTCTATGCCCATGACTACATTATGGTGGGATATAGAAAGGAAGCCCAACTCATACATGTGTCCTTCAAAGTCCTCGAAAGGTCCCCATGGCTTGTTGCTGAGATGATCATTTCCCAATGTCGCCAGTCCTCCCTTGCAAACACTTACTTGTAATCATAAACCAAGCCTTTACAGCACACGGCAGCCTTTAAATGGAAACACACATAAAACAAGGTTGCCAGGGTCTGTCTGTATTACCTCCAGTTAGTATTCACCAACTCTGTGGCAGCAGCAACCTAATACAGAATCTAAATCCATCCTGGTTTGTTCACAGGGTGAAACATTTGGCACCGAGTGGTTGAAGACTGATAGGAAGAAGCACCCTCATTGTCCCAGCAATAGGTGTCACCTCACCAATTGAAGAGGAAGGGAGACCAGATGACCTTTTCAGGGGAATAAATGTTGCTCTAAAGCTGCTGAACATTCAAAATGCATCAACTCATACAATCCCCACAGCCACCTGGTGAGGTGGACAGCGTCAGTATGTTAAGGAACAATGCTGAGAACATGCCAATCAGAGGGTCTCAGCTGAGTGACAGGGGACTCTCCCCTAGGCTGGGGGACCTATAAGCTGAGTGGAGCTACCTGGACCTCTTAGGGATTCCAGAGAGGTGACAGTGTGAAAAGGTTCCTCTTTCTAATAGGGCATCTGAAAAATCTACCACCATTCATTCATTTGCTTCTTCAGTGCCTATCACATCCAAAGGCTATGAGAGGCTGGGGATTTACTGGTGAGCAAAGCAGATGAAAACACAAGGCTCAAGGAATGTGTGCTCTCGAGAAACAACCAACAGGCTGGATCATGTAAGTCTAGGTTAATTCTCAAGTATCGTGATACTGACAGAGGTAACCACAGTTCCACTTTGTTCAGACAGGCGAGAGTATAGAACTAGCCAGGAATTAAGACAGAGGCAAGCCCTGAGTTGCCGATAATAGGAGAGGCCATCATGTATTTGAAGAGCTTCCACTGGCTGTGATGGACATGGCATCCTGCAAAGTCCTTTAGCTGTAAATCACTGATGCTGGGTGAATGAAGCAAACACTGCTCCATCATATCAGAATTTCTCTAAGAATAAGGGTCCCCTAAAGTCACTGGGAGTTACTCTGAAACAGTAATAGTTCCAGGCCTGGGCATGTCATTAAACCACCTGGAAAGCATTTATGAGTTCCTTGGCTCAGTTCAAGTCCAGACCAATTAAATCGGAATCTTGGGGTGGAACTTAGGCAGAGCTTTCTGTGACTTGCTCTGGCATCTCTGATGCACAGACCAACTACGAATGACCACTTCAGAAGGCGAGGTGGCCTTGTGTCTGGAGAGTCTCGGGTCAAAAAGCTCTGCTAAGTTCACACAGCTTGCAGGTGCTGGGTCTGCAAAGTTAATCATTTTCTTAGCCCTCCTCAGAAAGAAACGCTCATTTTTTTTGCTCTCTCTCCCACACTTGACAGTAGTGCTATCATCTCTCGCACACAGGCAGCCAACCTAAGTGCGGCACCTCCTGAGTCTAAATTTGCTCATTTACAGTTGAATGTTTTGCTTTTTCAAACGTGTTCCTGCCAAGCTGAGGCTACATGTGTAGGTCAAAGAACAGAAGTGCAGCAAAGGAAGTATTTTTTTTTTATTGACAAGACTCTAAAAGCCAAAGATAATGCCCAGCATGTGCCTCCTTGGCACTAATTGAACTCTTCGGTTTCCAAACCGTGATTTTTATCCAAAATCCTCTATGAAGCCAACAGAGGATTACTAAAAACAACAACAACAACAACAACAACAACAAACAAACAAACAAAAGAAAACGATGATTCAAACAGCCTATTAGTGAGCATAATGCTGGAAGAACATGTAAGGAAGGGGTAGGAAACTGGTCACTGCATTGAATGACTCCTGAACCCCAAATTGTGGGTCAAAGCTAGTAAAGGGAGCTGCTAAAAATAGTATGTGTGACACTGAACTGGAAGATGAATGCATTCCGTGATGCAAAGTATAGTACACAAATTAGCCATGCAGTCTAAGAACACATGTTAGCCAGCACTAGACCATCTCAATGGAGTCTAAACACACACGCTAGCCAGCACTAGACCTTCTCCAAGGAGTCTAAACACACATGCTAGCCAGCACTAGACCCTCTCCATGGAGTCTAAGCACACTTGCTAGCCAGCACTAGACCCTCTCCATGGAGTCTAAACACACTTGCTAGTCAGCACTAGACCTTCTCCAAGGAGTCTAAACACACATGCTAGCCAGCACTAGACCCTCTCCATGGAGTCTATGCACACATGCTAGCCAGCACTAGACCCTCTCCATGGAGTCTAAGCACACTTGCTAGCCAGCACTAGACCCTCTCCATGAAGTCTAAGCACACTTGCTAGCCAGCACTTTCAATGAAATCTGAGATCCCATAAGAGAAGGTAGGATGTTTTGCCCTAGAACACTTGTAGACCAAGGTGGAAATTTCTAGAGTCTCCAGTACTATTATCCTACATATTGTTTGTGTAGACCTAAACAAAGTTTTCAGATCCAACCAGGAGTTATATAGAGCAGTGTTGTATTTGCACTGGACAGAGTAAGATAGCAACGCACCACAGGAAAGAAGTTATTTTTTTAAAAATCTTTGAGAACAGGTGGTTCTGGGAAGCTTAAGCCAGCTTGGAATTTCCAAGCCTCCTGCCCCATCCTGCTAAGTGCTGGCACTGCAAGTGTGAACCTCTATATCTGGCTTTTGTTGTTGTTTCAAAGGGCACTTAGAAACTCACTCAGGCTCCATAATGCCAGTAACACTAAAAATGGAAACAAAACAATTTCACGAGATCTTTCATGTGCCGGACGTCAGTATCTTTTCCTGTATTAGCTCACTCCCCTCACACTTTTGAGTGAAAGACATAATCATACCAACTTTTCAGGTAAGAAAAAACAAATGGTGTATGTTTGGGCCACACAAGCAGTGAAGAGGCATAAAGGGTCTGAACAGAGCTCTGACTTGAGAGTGACCATGCTGAAGCTCTGTGCTGTATTTCTTCACACATACCATCCAGGTCCTACCTGCTGTAGCACACTGAAAGCACACCATAAGAAGTAAAAACAACTGGTAAAGACAGTCTAGTATCAGCCCTGAAGTCCCATCAGACCCACAGTCACCATGGGCTGGGAGCTGTCTCCCCTGCCTTTCGGCTTGACCTGACTGAGGCAGGAGTTTTGAATTAATGGATGGAGTGCATTAGGATCCTAAGATACCCCCCAAAACTTCCTTAGGGTGATGCGAATAAAATGAGGGGTAACCTCCACTTCTGGGTGTTGTGTACTGAGCCTCCTGCCTCTCCAATGTGGCATGCCAAGTGTTTGCTTCCTGGTGCTCTTACGGGGCATGTCAGGTGTGGCTCTGGAATCCGGGGACTTAAGCAAGTGCACTGAGCAGGGCTCACCACTTAAAACACCACTGTAGCTCTGGTACTAGCAAAGGACAGGGGGGCAGGGAAAGAAAAGCTCATTTCTTTGAGCTCAGCTAGACAGGAAAAAGGGGCAGCCTGCCGTGATAGGCCAGGCAGAATGGGTGAAAAGAAAGAGGCCTCAGATGACAGAGCATTTGGGTGGTAGTGAAGGAGTGGGGGGTTCCCTTTGCCTCATCTTGCTGGGTCTAGAAAGACCTGCCTTGCCCTGCCCTGCCAGTTACCGTCTAGTGAACCAAAGGTCCCATGGTACACAGATCTGCTCTTCTCTGCACTCTGAGCCTCTGATCTGAGACACACCTGAGTCCACAGGGGCCTCTGGCTCTGAAGCCCTGGCTTGTCAACTATCTGGCAGTGTCTTTGTCTCTGCCCCAGCCTGCCCTCTCCAGCCGGGCTTAGCATCTTTAATAAGGGGACACACTGCAGGACCCTGCTCCTTGATGTCTATGCTTAGAGAGAAGCTCGCATTTCATTTTCCATCAAAAGCTGGTGGTTTCCTGAGGGAGTCCTTTGGAAGCCAAGGCTACCATGTAATTGCTGAATCCACTACTGAAATCCCCCCTTTGGATCCCTGAGTTCTGAAAACTCCCATAGAGAAGGAGCAGGCTTGGAGTCCTGTAGGCCCTGGCTGCCCTGACACATTCCTGAGGCTTCGTTTCTGTGTGGTCTCTTTGGAAAGTTCCAGGCAATCCATTTCTCGATAAATGTTTTCATCTTTGCCTGGAGTCAAGCCAGCAGTGAGCAGAACAGATGTCAGACCTAAAGCCTCTCCAAATCCACTGCTTGACCATTGGCTGCTAATTTGTGCGGATGCAAACGAAATGCCTGGGAATGTTTCTCATTCGAGGGAAGACAAGCCCTGATAAAACTCATCACTTTATATGCTGACTTAAAAAAAAAAGCAAGCCCCCATAGAAGCTGGAGATGCCCCTTCTTCAAGAAAAGCATCATGAGAAGTAGGGCAATGGCAGTCTGCTGCACCAATGCCTGCTACAATATTAAAGCACTATTTTCCTCCTCCCAGAGTCAAAATAGAATATGCTTAATTGAGCTCTCAGATTCCTTCATGGATTTTCCTTTTGCACCTTCTCAAGGGTCTAACTCTACTACCACCATCACCACACTGACTTCAATGCCTACAAAAGCAAACAGATGCACGACAGTGTTGCTACCAAGCTCCATCCCTAGGGCAGGAGTAAATATTCAAGTTGAGAAAACTGATGGGAGGGAGAGGTGTGCTGGGGTTACAGGTATGCTCGCCATGTCTAGCTTCATTCATGATTTGACTTTCACAATCATGAATGGAGGAGGAAGCCTAAGTCGTGGAGGAGGAAGCCTAAGTCGTACCATCGCTCATGATCTACATCATCCTGAAGTTGTGACAGGTGCCTGTTTGGAGTAGCCAGCTCTGTGAACCTGTCCTTTTGGCTTGGCCTTGGCCTCCGCCTCGTCAACACTTACTGTGGGTAATGTCAAACCTCATGAATGGGCCTTTGTCAACACTAGATTACTAGGTCTGCTTTACCTGGTTTGAACCTTTCTTTTTTTTTCAGAGGCAAGACTTCTGTGTGCTCTGGCCTGCTTTGGGGAAGAGCAGGATTTCCTGGACAGCTCTGTCCTCCCCTTCTCTCCTCCCAGTAACCTCCAGCATGGTTAGAGTTGTTGAGGGGTGGGGTCTGCTGTTAGTCCCAGCTGTGGCTAGTTAACCTTGCCTCCATGTCTTCTGTGACCGGAAAAGCAATTCAGCACATTAGCTCTTTCAAAAGGGTCAGATCATTTTTGCCATTAATTGAATTTGGGATAAAACATGAATTCAGCTCTTTCATACATAATTTCAAACGAAAAGCAGACACTCTTTGCCTCATTCTGTCTACTCTGGATTCTTCTCCTGACTTCTCATGTAGCATCAGAGTCTGGGTGTTTGGTGTGTGTAGGGGTGCTCGTCACTGACTTGGGAGACCCCTATAGAACATGCTTGGGGGTGATATCTGTGGACATTTCTAGTGTCTCCACCCTGAACTGACTTATAAAGAGTACAGGACATCCTGGGATATCTGTCTTTACTATTACCTTAAGTGATAGGCACACGAGTTATTGTATACGCCTAAGTCTCTGTCACTTTCACAACTTTCTGATCTTGTCTGTTATAAACTTCCAAAGGAAGCCACATTCATGGACACCCCCTCCCCCTGGCTTAAGAAATCTGCTAAGAGTAATGCAGTCTTCCCTTTCTACTGGTTACTTAGATGTTTGTGCTACAATTAAAAGTATAGAGGAGGTCAGAACCTACATGGAGCAGCTGGAGGTAAAGGCAGCTCACAGGGAGGCATATTCTA